CGAGGTGGCGGGCGCCTGTAGTCCCAGCTACTCGGGAGGCTGAGGCAGGAAAATGGCGTAAACCCGGGAGGCGGAGCTTGCAGTGAGCATCTCAAAAAAAAAAAAAAAAAAAAAAGATGTTATTTGCAAGCCCCATGGTAACTTCAAATCAAAAAACCTACAACAGATAGACAAAAAATATAAAGCAATACATCAAAACATACTACGAGAGAAAATCACTTTCACAAAAAGGAAGACAGGAAGGAAGGAAGGAAAAGACCTCAAAATAACCAGAAAGCAAATAACAAAGTGTCAGTAGTAAGTCCTTATTAATAATAACATTGAATATAAATGGACTAAACTCTCCAATCAAAAGACATAGGGTGGCTGAGTGGATTAAAAAAAAAACAACAACATGATCTGTTTCCTACAAGAAACACACTTCACACTTCATCTATAAAGACACATATAAACTAAAAGGGATAGAAAATTATATTCTATACAAATAGAAACCCAAAAGAGCGGGAGTAGCTATACTTCAGACAAAACGGATTTCAAGACAAAAGCTATAAAAAGAGACCAAGAATGTCATATAATGATAAGGGGGTCAATTCAGCAAGTGTATATAACAATTATATGTGCACTAAACACTGGAGCACCCAGATATACAAAGCAAGTATTATTAGAGCTAAAGAGAGAGAGATAGACCCCAATACAGTAATAATTGGAGATTTCAGCACCCCACTTTCAGCATTGGACAGATTATCCAGATCAACAATGAAACACTGTACCTAATCTGCACTATACAGCAAATGGACCTCATAGATATTTACAGAACATTTCATCCAATGAATGCAGGATATACATTCTTCTCCTCAGCATATTGATCATTCTGGCAAGGCTGTGGAGAAAGAGGGACCCTCATACACTGTTGGTGAGAACATAAATTATGTTCCACTATGAAAGTTCCTCAAAAAACTAAACATAGAACTACCATGTGATGCAGCAATCCACCTGCTGTGTATATATCCAAAAGAAAGGAAATCAGTATGTCGAAGAGATATCTGGTGTCCCATGTTTATTGCAGCACTGTTCACAATAGCCCAGATTTGGAAGCAACCTAAGTGTCCATCAACAGATGAATGGATGAAGAAAATGTGGTACTTATACACAATGGAGTACTATTCAGCCATAAAAAAGAATAAAATATTGTCATTTGCAGCAACACGGACAGAACAAGTACATGATATTAACTTAAATAAGCCAGGCACAGAAAGATAAATTTCATATGTTCTCACTCATTTGTGGAAGCCCTAGAGTAAAATAATTGAACTCATGGAGATAAAGAGTAGAAGAACACAGCCGGGTGTGGTGGTTCATGCCTATAATCCTAGCACTTCGGGAGGCCAAAGCAGGCAGATCACCTGAGATCAGGAGTTCCAGACCAGCCTGGCCAACATGGTGAGACCTCGTCTCTAATAAAAATACAAAAATAAGCCAGGTGTGGTGGCACATGCCTGTAACCCTGGCTACTCGGGAGGCTGAGGTAGGAGACTTGCTTGAACTCAGGAGGTGGAGGTTGCAGTGAGCTGAGATTGTGCCACTGCACTCCAGTCTGAGCAATAGAGCCAGACTCTGTCTCAAAAAAAAAAAAGAGAGAGAGAGTAGGATAGTTACTAGAGGGTGGAAAGGGTAGTGAGGGGAGGGAATGGGACGGTTAATGGGTACAAAAATATAGTTAAGATCTAGTATTTGATAGCACAACAGAGTGACTATAGTCAGCAATAATTTGTTGTACATTTAGAATAACTGAGGGAGTACAACTGGAATGTTTGTAACACAAATAAATGGTGAATGCTTGAGGTGATGGATATCCCATTTACCCTGATTTCATTATTACACATTGTATGCCTATATCAACGTATCTCACATATCTCATAAATATATACACCTACAATGTACCCATACAAATTTAACAAATTTTTAAAAATGCCTTGTGTGCCAAAATATTTTATAGCTGGTGTCTTCAAGTGTTCACAGTATTACTTGTAGACGGGCATTTCCTTCCTAGGCAATTATCTGTTCTTGGCAATCAGCTTAAAAACATTTGCAGCAGCTGGGCACAGTGGTTTAAGCCTGTAATCCCGCCACTTTGGGAGGCCGAGGCGGGTGGATCACCTGAGGTCAGGAGTTTGAGACCAGCCTGACCAACATGGTGAGACCCTGTCTCTACTAAATACAAAAAGTTAGCTGGGCGTGGTGGCACATGCCTGTAATCCCAGCTACTTGGAGGCTGAGGCAGGAGAATCCCTTGAATCCAGGAGGCTGAGGTTGCAGTGAGCCGAGATTGCTCCATTGCACTCCAGCCTGGGCAACAAGAGTGAAACTCTGTCTCAAAAAACAAACAACAACAACAACAAAACATTTGCAGGGACAAGGGAGGTAAATTATTCAACTTTGGGCACAGAGTAACCTACTAGATTGATTCTGATGGTCCTGCATAGACAGAGGTGGCCTGAGACATTCTTCAGAATGTGATATCAGTGCCCATTAAAAAATTATCTGTGAATGTAGTCACACCCAATAGATTTATGAATAATCCCCCAGATATTCACTGAGAACAAGGCAAGTTATGCAGTAACAAAATAAATAGATTTTAGGCAGTGTCCTCTAGGAATTAAAATGGGAAACAGACAGTATTCTCACAGGCAAAATAGCATACCGGTAATTGCAGGTGAGTGCTTCCAAAAGCTGGCTGGCCATCAGAAACCCCTGAGGAGTTCTTAAAATATGGATTCCTAGGGCCCACCCAGACAAAAGGGAATCCAGGGATGAGGTTGAGTTGGGGCTCTAGAAAATTATCCCCACTTTTTTCAATAATCTTGTGATTTTTGCTGGCTCCTGGATTTTTCCTGCTGCTATTTACCTTCTTAAACATTTCTGCCTATCAGAGAATTGGGAGAAGCAAGGAGTTAAGTTTGTTTCCTACAAGGGGGGATACAAAGCTGAACCCATTGGCTAAAATGTGAGGCTTGGAGCTGCTAATGGGACAGAGGAAGTTGTTACAGAAAATGGCAACATGTCGTCGGGCGCAGTGGCTCACACCTATAATTCCAGCACTTCGGGAGGCTGAGGCAGGAGGATTGCTTGAGGCCAGGAGTTCCAGACCAGCCTGGCCAACATGGTGAAACCCTATCTCTACTAAAATCCAAAAAAAAATTAGCCAGGTGTAGTGGTGCATACCTGTAATCCCAGCTACTTGGGAGGTTGAGGCATGTGAATCGCTTGAACCTGGGAGGCGGAGGTTGCAGTGAACTGAGATTGCACCACTGCGCTCCAGCCTGGGCAACAGAGTGAGACTCTGTCTCGGAGAAAAAAAAAAAAAAAAAAAAAAAAACAAAGAAAATGGCAACATGTTGTCTTAGGTGAATGGTGGAATGGGGGAGAACATCCATTCCATGAATATTTATTGAATACCTACCTGAAAATGCTAAAAGACCACAGGCTAAAGATACAGAGAGGAAAAAATCCATTATTTCTCTCAAGAGGCTCACAATTTAGGGGATGGACTTACAATTGCCTGATGATGTAATAAGTGCATGCCAGAGCGATGCATGGAAGAGTGGGAGCTGAGGCAGGAGGGCACTGATAGGGAAGGCTTTCCTGAGGTCAAGCTGGGCTGTGACTTGAGGCTTTTGATTTAGCAGGTAGATAATGGCAGAGGTAAAATGCTAGGTAGTGGGAAAACATGTACAGAACTAGAAAAGGGGGATGGCAAGTCATTTGTTGTGGCTGTATCAGAGGGCATGTGCAGAGAGCATGGGAAATGAAGTTGGAGGAGGACTCAGGGACCAACTCATAGAAGGCTTTGTGTGCTGCTAAGAAACTTGAGTTTTATCTTGAAGATAATGGCATTGAACAGTTTTGAGCAGGGAAGTGCCATGATCAGACTTTTGTATTAAGTCCTTTTGGTAGCTATGTGGATTGAATACTGGGAGAACAACTGGAGATGACAAGATCAGCCAGAAGGCTCCTGCTGTAGTTCAAGGAAATTGATGAGCACTTCAGGTAGGTCAGTGGCAGAGGAGTCAGGTTAGCCTTTTTTGGCATCAGGGATGCCAGGTTAGATAAAACTCAACCACGTCATCATACTACTTCATTTATTCAGTAAACATGGATGGAGGGCATCCTGTGACAGACAGTGCTGGCTTCTTTGATTGGTCCTTAATAAGTAGTATAGTACCTTTCTGAAATTCTGTGTAACTGCTTCTTGAAATGTCAAGATACTGAACTAGAGACCTGGTATTAAACTTGCACATATCGGAACTGACAACATTTCTCAAGCTCCAACTCTCTATATTAGCTGTCACAGAATTTCATGTTATTAAACTTCTTTATCATCCCACACTTGTCTCTCTTATCTAGACCAAATTCCACTTTAATTGAGCCCTGAAACTAGACATCATTTCAAACATGCGATCCTTCATAATTAACTGCAATGATTTACATAGTTTGAACTTATGCATACTGACCCTATGAAAGGACTTTCAATTAGGATAGCTTGTAAAGGGAGCAGGTGACAGACATTACATAAACAGGCTGTTTATGTAATGTGGGGAAGGGAGGGAGGGAGGGAGAGAGACAGTGTGTGTTGGAAGGTGTTTATGCGCAAAAAAAAAAAAAAAAAAAAAAGAGAAACTGAGGGCCATGAAGTAATGCTAGGAAGGAATGATTATTTCACTGGATTCTGGGGTCCATGGGAGACCCACACCAGTATCTAATGCTCTCAGTTCCTTACATTTTTGGAATGCCTCCACAAGAACAGTTTTGCCTGAGTTGTTCAAGCCAATGATAGGGATGGTCACATTCCTAGAAATGAAAAAGAAAAATGAGCCAAAGTCTTAAAACAGTTAGGTTTTAGGCTAAACAGAGAGTTATACTCTTCCTTAGTGTTTGGGATTCTGCCTGCAGTAATCTCAATGCATGTACCATAAAAGGCCCAGCCAAAGCAGTAGAAGGTGGTATGGGAGTCCCTCATCAAAGCCCCCAAGGATGCTTTTCTTCCCTGATTCGCTTAACCTTGTACAATTGGCCATCCCTCCTCAACCCTGCTCCCAATCTTACAAACAACTGCTTAATCACTTCAACTAACAATATATATTATGAAGATTTGTACCTTGAGGGACTATGGGCAGATTTGTGGGAGGAAATAGTGGAATAGGCCTAGGGAAATAATTGTAATATTACCTTCGTGTCTCTTCTGTTGTCTTTAGCCAAGAGCAGCAGGAGGTCAAAAGCCGGAACATGATTCATCTTAGTTCTTAAATATTAAGAGAAGAAAGAAAATAAGAAATAAGTTCCATTATAAACACTGAGCCTTTAGTCAGCTTATGACTAAACAGGTGCTGATAAACAGAAAGCCTGGGATTGTTAGAAGTCTATTGCTTTATTCTATCCAACTGTGTCTATAAATGTCATAGAAGGAGGGACTGGTTATTCTCAATTGCAGTGACAAGTTCTGTGCTAATGAGTAGCTTTCTTCAAAATGGGGTGATTTCTTAGTATAGCAGCCTACACAGACATAATCAGATGTGGCCTATCCCTTCAGCCATAGTTCATCCTTGTTAAGAATATCTTTATTCAACCTTGTGGAGGTTGGGATGATGCCTAAGAGAAGAACCAACTTAGGCTTCCAGAAGAAACTATTGGGAGACCTGTTCCAAGTACCAATAATGTCTCTTCTTCAAAGATGTGGGCATTGGTGACCCGCTATTAGAGATTTTTTTACAATTTTTGGAGCTATCAGGGACCTTAGAGATAATCTATTCTAATGGATTTCAAACATTAATCCAGGTGTCCCATCCTCAAAGATTGCCAGGGAGCTGCATAAGCTTCCCAGGTGATGTCAATGCACAGCTGGATTTAGAAGTGAATGCCTAAGTAAAAAGGATAATTTAGGCAATCACTTCAAGGTTCATCCATGGAAAGCGGATTGTTTCCACTTTTTGGGTCTTATGAATAATGCTGCTATAAACATTTGTATATAAGTTTTTGTGTGGATATGTTTTCTCTTGGGTATATACCTAGGAGTATTACTGCTGGGTTATGTAATAAATCTATATTTAACCTCTTGAGAAACTGCCAGACTGTTTTGCAAAATGGCTACAACATCTTACATTCCCACCAGTAATGCTTGTTTTTTTGTTTACAGCTATCCTAGTGGGTGTGAGGTAGGTTTTTATTTATATTTCCCTAGTGACTAATTACAGTTGACCGTTGAACAACATGGGTTTGAACTGCATGAGTCTACTTATACCAGGCTTTTTTTTTTTTTCGACCGAATGAGGATATTTGTGAATGTGAAACCATGTATATGCAGGGCTAACTTTTCATATATATGGGTTTCATAGCGCCAACTGCAGGATTTGAGAATGCACAGATTTTGGTATATGAGGGGGTCCAGGAGCCCATTTCCCCCAAGTTTACTGAGGGACAACTATATGTTGAAGCCCAGAATTGGAGGAAGCCCTGGCTGGGTTAGCAAAGTACTTCAATTGATGCTTAGATGGGCCTTGCTTAGCTATCTGATGAGCACAGTTTATGTGCTAGCTTATTAAGGGATAATTTATCAGGGTTCTGCAGAGTCATCCAGTCATTTACTGGTCTGGAGAGTTGCCATTCCAAAATACTCACATTTCATAGCATTTGTTATAGCACAGCTCACGCCCTAGGAGATCATTAGGTTTCCCATAAAGACGTCCTGGATAATGGCTCTGGCTTATGCCAGACAAAAGAGAAACCTTATATATGGCCTGTGATCAAAACCAGCCTTACTCCAGTTTTGCACATGAAGCTGATATGACCAGGAGCCTGAAACATCAGAGCCTAATTGTCTGGGTTCCATGATAGCCATCTCCCTTGGAGAAGAGGCCAGTAACTGCTTCATGTCTGTTTCCTAATAATTGGCAGAGCCTTCTAACTTGATGTCAGGCTCTCTGTGTTTGTCAGTGCCACCAAGAAGTGTCAAATTGGCATCACACAAGTTCTTCCTTTATAAGGAAGGGTAGGTAGGATAACCCAACTGGGAAAATGATTGAATTAGGGATGACTGGTCTGATCCTGTATTTCTAGTGCCTCTTCTGGGTAACCTGAAGTGAAATCACCTCAACTAAACCTATCATTTCCAAATTTCTTTTCTTATCTGTAAAATGAAGATAGTGACATATTTTGCTTACCATGAGGTGGTTATTTATCTGATAAGTTGATTCTTTTTGGATGGAAGACATAAGATATGCAGAGTAATAGGAAGATGCATTGAGCTTTCTAGCCTTCTTGTCAGATTAACACAGCTCAGGTTGTCCACTTATAAAAGCTATGGCAATGTCCTAATAATGGTTGTCAAGGTACTGACATGTCTATGGCAACAACTACCTGGTTCATAGCAACCAAACTTATATCTCCTTACCTTGTATGATTTTAGATAATTACTAAAGGAACTTTTAGTCATCATAGTTTTTATTCATTTTACAAAATATTTATATAGAATTTACTGTGTGCCAGGGCTCATTAAAGCACTTTATACACATTAATTCATTTAATCCTTACTACAACATGACAAAGTAGGGGCTATCATTCCTCCTTTTCAGAGATGAAGTTGTTCACAAAGGGGTTACATAACTTGCCAAAGGTTACCTAGCTAATAAATAGTAAAGCCAGAATTCAAACCTAGGCATTCTGGCTTCAGAGTTGTATTAGGTCAAAGGTCTTGCAGACCTCAGGTACCAGAGAAACTGCCTCTGCTCTGGGTATCTCTTCTAGCCAAACTGTATCATACTTAGTGAACTTCTTATAAAACACTTTATTTTTCAGAATCGTTTTAGGCATACAGAAAAATTGCTAAGACAGTACAGTGAGTAACTATCCCCAACACCCAGTTTCCCTCATTGTTAACATCTTGTGATACTGCATTTGTTACAGTTAATGAGCCAGTATTAATACATTGTTATTGACTAAAGTCCATACTTCATTCAGATTTCCTTAGTTTTTAACTTAAGCTTCTCAGATTTTGTTTTGTTTTGTTTTTTAGAGACAAGGTCTGGCTCTGTGGCCCAGGCTAGAGTGCAGTAGTGTGATCATAGCTAACTGCAGCCTCAAACTCCTGGGCTCAAGCAATCCTCCTGCTTCAGCTGCCCAAGTACCTAGGACTGCAGGCATACACCACCATGCTTAGCTAATTTATTTTTTGTTCTTTTTAGAGAAGGGTCTTGCTATATTGCCCAGGCTGGTCTCAAACTCCTGGCCTCAAGTGATCCTCCCACCGTGGCCTCCCAAAGGGGTGGAATTATAGGCATGAGATACCACATCCAGCCACTGTATTTGTCTTTGATGACCTTTACAGGAGTGTTCATCAGGTGTTTTGTAGAATACCCCTAACTTAGTGTTTATCTGATGTTTTTCTCATGATTAGACTGAAGTTACGCGTTCTTGGGAGGAAGGCCACAGAGGTAACATGCCATCCTCATCATATCATATCAAGGATACATGCTGTCAACATGACTTATCACTGATGATGTTAACCTTGATCACCTGGCCGAGGCAGTGTTTGTCGGATTTCTCCACTATAAAGATACTCCCCCTACTTTCTATCCTGTACTCTTTAGAAGGAAATCAGTATGCATTGGCCACAGTTATAGAATGGGGATTTATCCTCCACCTCCTTGAGGTGGAGTATCTACAAAAGTTGCTTGGAATTCTTCTGTATGGGGGAGGGGGTCTGTCTGTTCTTATGCATTTGTTTATTAAATCATTTGTTTATACAGTATGGGCTCACATATATTTATTTTATACTCTGATTATAATCCATACCACTTTATTTTCTTGTTCAAATTGTTCCAACTTTGGCCTGGGGAGCTCTTTCAGTTGATTCCTCCCTCTGACATACTTTCATCATTGTAGGTTTTTTAAAATTTTTATTATTTTTTTTGAGACGGAGTTTCGCTCTGTCGCCCAGGCTGGAGTGCAGTGGCACGATCTCAGACCACTGCAACCTTCGCCTCCTGGGTTCAGGTAATTCTACTGTCTCAGCCTCCCAAGTAGCTGGGACTACAGGCACACACCACCATGCCTGGCTAATTATTGTATTTTTAGTAGAGATAGGGTTTCACCGTGATGGCCAGGCTGGTCTCGAACTCCTGACCTCAGGTGATCCACCCGCCTTGGCCTCCCAAAGTGCTCAGATTACAGGTGTTAGCCACCGCACCCAACCCACATACTTACTCTTAATTCTAAATTTTGAATTGGATCACAGACCAGGCCTTCAGCTAGGGTGACTTATGTACCTATTTGACCAGAACAGACTTGATGTGTGTTTTCCCCCAAGCCCATGGCCAAACTTGTATCCTAACCTGTTTTCTTTCTTTCTTGCTTTTTTTTTCTTTTCTTTTCTTTTTTTAAGATCAAGTTTTGCTCTTGTCACCCAGGCTGAAGTGCAATGGTGCGATCTCGGCTCGCTGCAACCTCTGCCTCCCAGGTTCAAGCGATTCTCCTGCTTCAGCCTTCTGACTAGCTGGGATTACAGGCATGTGCCACCATGCCTGGCTAATTTTTTTTTTTTTTTTTTTTTTTTTTAAGTAGAAATGGGGTTTCGCCATGTTGACCAGGCTGATCTTGAACTCCTGACCTCAGATGATCTGCTCCCCCCTTGGCCTCCCAAAGTACTGAGATTACAGGCGTGAGCCACTGCGCCCGGCCTCCTGGCCTGTTTTCTTATGGTGTCTGGGCTAAGAATGGTTTTTACATTCTTAAAGGGTTAAAAAGAAAAAGAATATATGACAGAGACTGTATGTGGCCTCTAAAACCTAAAATATTTACTATCTGGCCATTTTTAGGAAAAATTTGCCAACCTCCATCCCAGAATCATTACTAATAGTGCCTCCTTTCATTCACAAAAGTGTCCAGGCTTAGATGATATTCTGTATGAACACTTATCTTTATCTGAATGAGGCACTTTACAGCCCTTTGAAAGTTCTCAGCCGAAGGCTTTTCTAAATATGTAGATTGATTTTTGGCCAACTGGAGGTTGCATTTTCCCCTTCTTTTCTCCATACTTGCCATCCAAAGGGAGCTGTCTATAGCTAAGATCTTGTGCTAACCCTCAAGGGAAGTAACCCACTTGATACCACTGTTTTTCCATCATGCCCAGAAATGTGTTAGGTAGAGGAATAATTTACTGTACCTTTCTCCCATCTTGATTTAGTTGTTTTCTTATTTTATAGATGACTGTGAATTCATGTTATTTTCTTTGGTACTTGCTTAGAAGTATGGAGGAAAAGTTTTGACTGAAGAAGGTGAATGGAAATGTGACTGAGACAGGAAACATGACTGAGACAAGCTGAATTCTGATTAGACCTTGTATTAGGCCATTCTCACACTGCTATAAAGGAATACCTGAGACCTGAAAAGAGTTTTAATTGGCTGTCAGTTCTAGTGGCTGTACAGGAAGCATGGCACCAACATCTGCTCAGCTTTTGGGGAGGCCTCAGGGAGCTTTTACTCGTGGCAGAAGATGAAGCTGGAGCAGGCACATCACATGGTGAAAGCAAGAGCAAGAGAGTTGGGGGGAGGTGCCACACAATTTTAAACAACCAGATCTTAGGAGAATTCACTCACTATCATGAGGACAAACCATGAGGGATCCACCCCCATGACCCAGACGCCTCCCACCAGGCCCACCTCCAACATTAGGGATTACATTTCTTTTTTTTTTTTTTTTTAGACGGGGTCTTGCGCTGGGGGGCGGGGGGGGGATTTTGGCTCACTGCAAACTCCGCCTCCTGGGTTCACGCCATTCTCCTGCCTCAGCCTCCCGAGTAGCTAGGACTAGAGGCGCCCACCGCCACGCCTGGCTAATTTTTTGTACTTTTTTAGTAGAGACGGGGTTTCAGCATGTTGGCCAGTCTGGTCTCGAACTCCTGACCTCAGGTGATCCTCCCAACTCGGGCCTCCTAAAGTGCTGGGATTACAGGCATGAGCCACCGCGCCCAGCCAGGGATTACATTTCAACATGAGATTTGAGGGTACAAATATCCAAACCATATAATTCTGCCCTGCCCCCTCAATTCTTACATTCTTCTCTCATTTCAAAATACAACCATTCCTACTCAGTATTCCTGCAAAGTCTTAACTCATCCCAGTATTAACTCAAAAGTCTCAATTTCAAGTCCAAAGCCTCATCTGGAGATAAGTGTCTTCCACCAATGAGCCTATAAAATTAAAACAAGTTATTTACTTCCAAGATACAGTGGAGGTACAGGCATTGGCTAAACATTCCTGTTCCAAAAGGAAGAAATCAGCCAAAAGAAAGGGGCTACAGGCCCCAAGCAAGTCCAAAACCCAGCAGGGTAGTCATTAAATATTAAAGCTCCAAAATAGTCTCCTTTGACTCCATGGCCCACATCCAGGGCACACTGGTATGAAGAGTGGGCTCCCAAGGCCTTGGGCAATCCATACCCATGGACAGCCTCTGTGGCTGCTCTCACAGGTTGAAGTTGAGTACCTGCAGCTTTTCCAGGCTCAGGGTCCAAGTTGCTGATGGATCTACCATGCCAGGATCTGGAGGATGGTGACCACCTTCCCAAAGCTCCACTAGGCAGTACCCCATTGGGGACTCTGTATGGGCCCTCCCACCCCACATTTCCGCTCTGCACTGCCCTAGTACAGATTGTCTGAGGGCTCTACCCCTGCAGCAGGCTTCTACTTAGGCACCCAGGCTTTCTCATATATCTTCTGAAATCTTGGCAGAGGTTGCCAAGCCTCCTTCACTCTTGCATTCTATGTGCCCACAGGCTTAACACCATATGGAAGCCACCAAGGCTTATGGCTTGCACCTTCCAGAGTGGTGGCTCACACTGTATCTGGGGCCCTTTGAGTCAAGGCTGGAGCTGGAGCAGCCTGGATGCAGGGAGCAGTGTCCCGAGACTGTGCAGGGCAGCAGGGCCCTGGGCTGGCCCAGGGAACCATTATTTTCTCTTAGGCCTCTGGGCCTGTGATGGGAAGGGCTGCCTCAAATATTTCTGAAATGCCTTCAAAGTCTTTTTCCCATTGTCTTGGCTATCAGCACCTGGCTCATTTTTAGTCATGCAGAGCTCTGTAACAAGTGGTTGCTCTGCCACCTGCTTGGATCCTTCCTCAGAAAAAGCTTTTTCTTTCTTTGCAGGTGGCCAGGCTGCAAATTTTTCAAATGTTTACACTCTGCTTCCCTTTTAATTATAAATTCCAACTGTAAGTTATTTCTTTGCTCCTGCCTCTGAGCATAAGTTATTAGAAACAGCCAGATCAC